TGTGATGCTTTTACAGATTTTGTAGCTTGACAAAATCTCTTGCATTTGTTCAGAGTTGGACAGTTTGCTGAGATGACTTAAGGAACACTTCAAGAGATCATCTGAAATTTTCTGAGTTTGTAGAAACTGAGGAAGTAGAAAGGGTACCCTTAGCATGAGTTCTTCCTGCTGTTGATTGGATTTGTGCCCCTCCTGTCTCCTTTGGGCAGTTGGATAAGGGGTAGTAGCTGAAATCTGTTCATGATAAACTTTTTTTCAAGAGTGGGTAGGTACCACCTGCCTTTAAAGCAACTGTGTAGCCCCTCCTGAAGGAGCCATCTCTCAACCCAGCCACATTGGCTAACTTGCACTCAATCCACTTCCCTCCCTTTTCTTCAATTACAATGGCTCCTAGAGAAAACCTGTACCCTTTTCAGCCTGAATACATATCTAGGCCAGATGAGTCCAGAATTTGTTTATTTCAATGTGTTGTTAGTTGCGAAGTCATGTCCGAGCCATCGCGACCCTATGGACAACGTTCCTCCATGCCTTCCTGTCCTCTACCATCTTCTGGAGTCCATTTAAGCTCACGCTTACTGCTTCAGTGACTCCATCTAGCCACCTCATTCTCTGTCGTCCCCTTCTTCTATTGCCCTCGATCTTTTCCAGCATTAGGCTCTTCTCCAGTGAGTCAGTATAGTTCAGTGTATAAACTGTCAAAATAGAATGACACAAAGCAGTGTACAGATGATTAAAAATACATCACAGAATGCATCATAAAAACCAACTGTGAGGGAACTAATAAAAACAAAAATGTCATATGCAATAACATATCACAATGTGAAATACAGAATATTAAAAAGTACTTAAATAAAACATAAAATATTATATTACTAAGCTGAACTACAAAAAGCCAAGTCCTAAAAGACAAAAGGGTCAGGGAGAAGATCTGAGGCAGAATATATGTAGTCCTCAACACTGAAAAAAGTGACATGTGACCGTTTTTCATACTTACGACCATTGCAGCATCCCCATGGACACGTGATTAAAATTCAGACTCTTGGCAACTGATTCATATTTATGACGATTGCAGTGGCCTGGGGTCATATAATCACCTTTTGTGACCTTCTGACAAGCAAAGTCAATGAAGAAGCCAGAGTCAATTAACAGCTGTATTACTAACTTAACAACTACAGTGGTTCACTTAACAACTGTGGCAAAAAAAATCATAAAATGGGGCAAACCTCACTTAATAAATGTCTCACTTAGCAACAGAAATTTGGGGCTCAAGTGTGGTTGTAAGAACTATTTGTACTTGTTCCAGAGGACTGATAGTAGAGAGTCCCACAAGATGACACTCTTGGGTAAATGAGACCTGGAGGAGAATATTTTCTGCCCTTTTTGTGTTGCTGGCTAGTTTAGAATTTACAATCAGCTATCAAAGGAGGAAGATATTAGAGGAGGTGCCAGGACTAATACAAATAGCATTATGTTTATTTAATTTCTCATAATTAATTATTACAGGGCTCCTTCCCAATTGCCTTGGTGAGTGCAAGAGATAGAGATGATCTCTGGAATTTAACTCACAAAGAGATTGCTTTCTTTCGGCAATCGGTGTTAATTGGAAAATGCAGGTCAATCAAAAGACATATAACACTGCACCTTGCCCTTCTGTGACACAGTTTATATGGGTCTGCCATTGGACTGCTGGGAAGCTGCACTCTGTTCAAAATGCAGTGGCCTGACAGCTGTCAGGAGGAAGCAGGTTCACCAAATATATATTTTGATAGGCTAGAGATTGCTGTCACTGATTTAGACACTACTTCCAAAATGTCTCTCAGATTAGAACATCTGGAGGTTAGCAAATCGCTTCTCCTTGTAAAAAATGTAGGATACCATTAGTAAGTTTTTTTTTTTCCTGGAAGGAAATGTTGCTTTGCCAGTTCTATAAGGTAAACTATGTTAGAATAGACATTTATTACCAATATACTGTAACTCTCACTACAGTCTCATATTGGAGATGATTTCCATTGGATTTAGTGGTCATGTACTCACCTTGGATAAGGCCACTTTAAGAATTTAGATAAACATCCCCAGTTTTAAATTTGTTTACTAATGCTGATTTTTTTTTTAATCTTAGTTGGCATTCAGAGTAAAATGTTTGCAGTAGTGTTAATTATTATGAGTGATGTTTGAAGGAATTATTTAAACTTTTTTTTGCTAGAGTTTGCAATCACTGATTTTCCCACTGATTCTGAAATTTCCCCTACACCAGCTGGGGAAGGAAGAATGGACTGCGCATCTCCAGATGTTGCTGTAGAATATATAATGGACTTCAGCAATAAAAGAAGCAAGAAAGAAGCACAATATCTAGATAAAAAGATTTCAGAAAAAGAGAATATTATCAGCAGTTGCAATCCCTATGAACAGTATTCCCCAAAGCAGAAACATCCCAAGGCAGTGGGAAAAAATGGGAAAAAGGTGGACTGGAACATAAACAAACCTTGCAAAAAATATATTCCGGCCTCTGAGAAATATCCCAGACTCCAGCAAAAGCAGCGTGAAGAAAAGAAAGCACAGCGACAAATGGCGCTGCTTCAGTTGGTTGAAAGAAACAACCCTGGTAATCTTTGCAAGAAAAAAGGTGTTTCTCCAGATAGAGCCCTCTCACCTCACAAGGAAGATGAGGTCAAAAATAAGGTAAGTGCCTTCAAAATGTGAGGATGGCCTAGTCCAGGGGTCCCCAACCCCTGGTCCGTGGACCTGTACCGGGCCGCAGCATGCCAGCAACCAGTCTGCACAAAGAAGCAAAGCCCCATCCGCGGGATGCAGGCAGCATACAAAACCACACACCCTCCGCTCCGCAGAAAAACCTCTCTCCACGAAACCAGTCCCTGGTGCCCAAAAGTTTGGGGACCTCTGGCCTAGTCATAAACCATTGTCTCAGACAAGTATACATACTTGCAGTAGTGGTGAATTGAATGTCACCCATGGAGAAATGGAAATTGAACTGAAATTTTTGGTAATTGAAAATACCAAAACTCAGCTATAAATAATTGAATTTCACTTTTGAGAAGAACAAAATAACAGAGCTCGTTTTGATGTCGTGGTTAAGGCAGCAGCTAAAAAGATTGTGAGTTCTAGTTCTGTCTTAGACATGAAAGCTGGCTAGGTGACTTTGGGCTAGTCACACTCGCTTAGCCCAGCCCACCTTATTGGGTTGCTGTTGTGGGGAAAATAGAGAAAGGATATTATGTACGTTCGCCACCTTGCATTACCTGTGCAGTAATGAAGTCTGGATGAAAAATCTAATTAAAAAATACAAATTTCTCCAAATAAACCTCAGAAGTATTTCTAAGAATGATGTACGCTGCTGTGCAGTGCTGAATATGCTACTAGTGCTACCACCACACCAACGCCTCTTTCCTCTTCTTCTTCCTCCTCTTCTTCTTATGTATGTAACTACAGTGATTAAAGAAGAAAAAAGAACAGCCATATATTAATATAATAAAATTAATTCAGTCCTTAGATTTATTAAGCCCAGAACACATGCATTGCTGCATCTTTTTATTTTTACAATACAGATTTAAAACATCAATATAAAGAGATACATCTTTAACATCGGGAACATTTTTTTTTCTGTGATCGGTAGAGCCAAGGTTCTTAATAAACACATTATTTTCTGTTGAATTTAATTGATTCTTAAGATACATATTTTATGTTTCCTGAAATTTGGACCCGTTGATTTTCTAAAATTGGATATTCCAATTCCTCATTCCACATCTCAATTACCTTCATCATATTCTTTGTTTTGAATTAAATTTTATTACTGATTTCACTTCAAGTACAGTATCTCTTAAAGATTTTAGAATTCCAAGTATCTCTGAAACTGAAGTATCTAGATTATATTGTTTAACCAATATATGTTTTCATTATATGTATTGCGAAGCAGATAATTTAGCTAAGTTATACTCAGCATTGTCTGAAATCCTTATAATGAGCATTATCCATAAACTGATGTAAGGTATTTATCTCTTGCTTGGCCCTAAACTTTCAGTTAAACAGTTTCTCTTCTGTCTTCAAATTAGGTTGATTCCTCATCAATTTCTCATGTAATTTGGATTGAAAGTTAGCCACTTAATTTAATACTTTAAACTTAGTTTACTTTAACTGACCAAATATATCTGGCAGCTTTCAAAGCTGGAAAAGACAATCTCAGTTGTTTTTATTGTGACACATTTCCTTCATTTCCTTCTATTCAAGCCCAAAGTGGGTAATATTGGGGGGGGGGGACATTCTCATAGGCTTTAAAATAAAAGTCTAACTTTAAAGTGTAAAGTCTGAAAATTTAATGCATCAGCATCATGGGACAATTTAGCCAAAGAAATTAGAGCATCTTGATTTGCTATTAGAATATTTATTTATTCATTCATTTATTATTAATTAATTAATTAATATTGGAATCTCTAAAACTCTGCATCAGTCTAGAGGTGCAGTGGGCCCTTGATTAACCACCATTCATTGACCATTCAAACCTGCTCTGAATGAGTGGTACTTATGACTAGTCCTCAGAATTCCGGCCATCACAGTGTCCCGCAATCATATGGTTGTCATTGGCAACCATCTTTGCCAGTTTCTGGCAAGCAAGCTCTATAGCAGTGGTTCTCAACCTGTGGGTCGGGACCCCATTTGGGGTCGATCGACCATTTCACGGGGGTCGCCAAGCAAGGCTGTCCGCCATTTTTTTCCCCTTTTTCGGTGGGTGCCTTATTTCCCTTGGGCTGGGCCAGCTGGTGGTCGGCCTGCTCTGTCTCTGCCGCTTGCCAGCTACGCCTCGGCCGGCGCAGGGGGCGGAACCACGCATGCGCGGCGCTCCCGGGCAGGGAAAGTCCTCGACTTACGACCGGTTGGGTAGTCCTCGACTTACGACTGGTTTAGTCCTCGACTTACGACCGGTTTAGTCCTTGACTTACGACTGGTTGGGGTCGCGGCATTAAAAAGGTTGAGAACCACTGCTCTATAGGGAAGTCAGCAGGAGGTTGCAAATGGCAGTTACATGACAACCTTTTTTAACAATGTGCAATGATTTTCTTAATGACAGCCAGGATTCTTTTTGCTAAGCAGTGCAGTCACATGACATCATTGTTTGCGACTGTGTCATTTAGTGACTGCAATTCCAGTCCCAGTTACCATCATTAACTGAGTATTACCTGTAGAGACCTGGTTTGTCCCAGACTCCCAAGAATACATTCAGTATAAATAAATATAAATTTATCCATCTCATCCCCTGCAGCATAGCTATTAGCAGAGTACTAAAAAAATAAGGGTAAGATCAACTATAACAAGTAGATCAAGAACATTCTATTTCAGAAGGTAAAATAAGGGCCCATGATAGAATACAGTGTGGTGAAAATAACTTTATTTTGGTCTTATTTTAGGAAGAACAATTCTCAAAAAAATTATTTGAACAAAGGTAGGTATTAGCATGTCTTTCTCTAATAAAGAATTGATTTTGTGTCTATGTTTACATATATCAAGTTCTCAAATATTATGGCATTGTATTTAAAAGTAAAATTAGCATAAATTCTAAAGTTTTAGCAATTCCTATTAGAGGAAAAATTTGCACTGAATAATCAAATGTACATGAGTTTGTTATATCAAATATCGAACAACTTCATCTTCACTCATAGCTCCTTTGTATAGCTCATTAAACAAAATAAAACTCTTTGTGTGGAAGGAGATCTGCATTTTCAAGATTGCATTTAAATATAAGCAGAAATTAATAGTAGATTGATAAAATGAAGAAAGCTCTGGTTGAGACTATTTTTTGCAGCTGAATTGTTTGTTTTAAACAGATCTGACTCCCCACCTGTTCCAGCAGTTAAAAACAAATTACAGCAACAACTAAAGACTTCTGATTTCCCAGTTCTTAACAGCAAAAATGGAAGCCCAAAGAGTATTTCTACAGATCAGCATGGGAATGAAAGGCCTCTTCCAAATACGGAAGCTGAAAGACCTCCTTCATCTCATTTTGTTCCTTATGTGCGAACAAATGAAGTATATTACCTTGATCCAGATGCACCCTTGACTAGGCCCTCCACGCATGAGCCACAATACCAAGAGCTGGACGGTACTGCAGTAGAGAGTTCAAGAAACACTTATGGTTATTCAATATTTCACCATTAACCTTCATTTAAAGTTTTTACTGCTTGTTCTAAAGTGTTGTTTTAATTCAGTACTGAATAAAGTAAAATATTTGTTTTAAGAGAAAATCATTAATTTTAAACCTATCAATCTAAACATAAATATATTCTATTTGTAATCAGATGTTCAAGGCAAAAATTTATCCATAGGGTCACTAACAGTTAACCACATAGATCTCACGTTGAGCCTTGGTGGTGCAATGGCTAGAATGCAGTATTGCAAGCTAATTCTGCCCACTGCCAGGAGTTCAATCCTGACCAACTCATGGTTAACTCAGCCTTTCATCCTTCTGAGGTCGGTAAAATGAGGACCCAGATTGTTGGGCCAATATGCTTAGAGAGGAGTGTAAAGCACTATAAAGCTGTATATAAGTTTAAGTGCTATTGTTATTCCTGTTGTATCCATGAATGTAGAAAACTACTTCTATGAAACTATATTTTGAAATTGGCTAAAGGTAAATTCTTCAGAAGGCTATATATGCATTCTCTTCCAGACAGATGTCAAGCTAAGACACATCATAATTTATTCATGCACAATATTAAAAATAACACTGATTGTTTACAGTACAATTAATTGTATCTATATTTATCTTTAGATACTTACCATAAACCACGGCAGGTTTTTAGCTCTGATCACATAAGGGATCCTCTTTTTAATCCTAATATGGTGAGAGACAGGCAGCAAGCCATACTCAAAGGACTTTCAGAGCTGCGACAGGTAATAGTTGACTTCAGTGTAGTAAAGTTACTGTTGAATTTTTCATAAACTCCACTGATATTGCATCATTTACCATTAATCATTTGTGTTGAATTTTTCACTCTCAAGATTACATTCTGCCTGCACTGTTTCCATCTTGTAAAAAGACAAAAAAAATTCATTAAACAGATTGCAATGTTATTTACATGTAATGTACTTCTACATAATTCTCATATATTCTGCTTCTGGTGAACGTTTCTAAAGCTTTCATAAAAATATGAAATATTTAATAATAATGATGATAATAATAACAACAATAAAAATAAAGTTGGAAGGGACCTTGGAGGTCTTCTAGTCCCACCCCCTGCTCAGGCAGAAAACCCTATACCATTTCAGACAAATGGTTGTCCAGTCTTTTCTTAAAAACTTTCAGTGCTGGAGCATTCACAACTTCTAGAGGCAGGTTGTTCCACCGATTAATTGTTCTAACTGTTCTAACTCATTTAGAGTCATGCAAATTGGGAGGAAAATTGCTTCAAACTACTGGACATAACAGAATTGTTCTGTTTTTTATTTATAATCTTATTTCTACATCTCAAACTGCAGAAATCATTCATAGCAAAGGGGAGACTGAATTCCATAGCATATTTTCTAGGAGACAGACACCAGATTTACAACCATTCTTCTATGATTAGAAAACTTTTTTGCACTACATACTTACAAATATAATCCTAAAACTATGCAGTGTCCTTGTCCCAAAAACTGGTGGAAATTCCTTCTACAAATTTCCTTTCCCTCTTGTTACAAGTTAGTCTTCTTGAATAAAAAAGAAACTATAAATATGTTCATCTTTAGCTCTCCCAGTTTTGCATCAGCCACAATCCTCTTGCCTCTCTTGTTGATTAATATAGTGGTCAAGTCCTAGGAAAAAAACTCCAATCTTTCTGACATTTTGTAGGAATAGAACTATAGTAATGTCTTCCACTTCTAAGAGCTCTTGTATTACATGTTTTAATTTCAAATTATCAACATCAATATAGCAGTATATATGCAACACTTTATGTTTTCTAAATGTTTAATATAAAGTAATTTCCATTTTAAACATTGTTTCTGTTCTTTAATATTGAAGAATATTTGTATAATAAAGTCCTAATGTTCAAAATGATACATTATATGTCCCTTCATTTAGGAGAATATCACTGTTCTTACTATTATTGTTCATTGCAGTCAGCCAGATGTTTAAACTGGATGTGGCCTTTTTATCCACCTATCAAGTCCTTCCCAAGGACCTTGGATAGGCAGATGTTCTTGTTTGATGGTGTTAATGGTATTGCCAGGTCTTGTCGTCTGCTTTGCCTGCTATTTTTTTAATGTACCAGACATATAATACTTTGCCTTGCCATGTCTCTTTTCTATTCTTCATTTGGTCTTTCTTGTAGGCCAGTTTGGTCTCTCCAGTATGCAGTAAGACTTCATGATGTGCTAGGTTCAATGCATCTTCCTCACTGTCCTTCAGATATTCTTCCAATGTCATTATTATTATATTTTAATTAATAACTAGCATTAATCTTTTTAAAAAGCCTTTTGAAAATGAGTTTCCATTACTCTTCTAATAAATATAACTCCCTCTAGTCCAGTGGTTCTCAACCTGTGGGTCGGGACCCCATTTGGGGTCAATCGACCATTTCACGGGGGTCGCCAAGCAAGGCTGTCCGCCATTTTTTTTGTCCGCCATTTTTTCCCCCTTTTCCGGCGGGTGCCTTACCTCCCTTGGGCTGGGCCAGCTGGTGGTCGGCCTGCTCTGTCTCTGCCGCTTGCCAGCTACGCCTCGGCCGGTGCAGGGGGCGGAACCACGCATGCGCGGCGCTCCCGGGCAGGGAAAGTCCTCGACTTACAACCGGTTGGGTAGTCCTCGACTTACGACCAGTTTAGTCCTCGACTTACGACCGGTTTAGTCCTCGACTTACGACCAGTTTAGTCCTCGACTTACGACCGGTTGGGGTCACGGCATTAAAAAGGTTGAGAACCACTGCTCTAGTCAGCTGTAACTTGCAGTGCCTTTCAGAATACCCATTTATGATGGCAAGTAGAAAAGTTATTGGCAAGTGGAAATGTTATTCATTTCCACTTGCCATCATAAATCCAGAGCAGAAGGCAGCAACTAATACATTTGAAGCTGCTTCTGTTACGTACACTTTCCAGAATGGTGTAGATCATTTATTATTTCAGATGTTTTAGTTTCCTGTATTCATTAGAAGCATGGCAGAAATAGTCCTAGTTGTTGTTTCAGTGATTTTACCATCCAATTGTTGTTTTAGCTGTTTTGATGGCATCCATTCATTAAAGCTGCTCAGGCTTTTCACGTTGAAAAAAGTTTGAAGAAACAAACCATATATTTATGTCCAGGTTTCCATCACCTATCCTATTTCTATTGTTTCACCTCTATATTTGTAAATCATCTTAGTGTAGAAAAAATAGACTTGGCTATCAATCTTAACCTAGTTCTTCTGTTTTTTGCATTGCTTACCTCAAAAAGAAATAAGGTGATGGATGGATAGATGGATGGAGTTTTATATCCTCTTTAATACTTCCATATTTTTGTCCATATCATTTAGCAGCATAACCATTCTGGTTATTTATTTATTAACTATAGTCTTATTATTCCATCTTAAGTATTTATGTTACTATTGTTCATGTGTCTGGGAAAGATAAATTCCAAATGTGGCTAATGGAAATGTTCTACAGTAGTAAAAGATAAAGTGTATTCATTGAGTCTATTCCTTTTTTCAGTGTAGGAAAATCAATTAAAGCATTCCTGATAGATGATAGTCCAGTCTTTGTTTCAGCACATCTCACAAAGAGGAATGTACCACCTCATAGTTGGTTCTAACTACTGTGGCCATTAGATTATTTTCTAACATTCATTGAGAATTTAAATCCTTAATTCTGTGCCTTGCATGCTAGGATGATTGGGGACAGGGTTTGACCTTCTTCTTTATGGCATCCTTTCAGTTATTTGATGTGCTACCATATCCCACCTCAAGGCTAAACACGTCCAGCTCTTTCAATCATAGGAATATTTTCAACAATGAATACCTTCAACATTCTTTGAACCAGTCTGCACTTTGGAAGTTTAATTTTTGCTGGCAGCAACTAAAATTGCATTTGTTTTTGTTGCAACCATATTACATTATTGATTCTTAATCTGGTTGGAATCAACTATGATTCTAAATTAGATTCTAAGTTCAGACATCCTAATGCCAAGGTGAGAAAATTCCAGATGTTTGTAACTTGGGAAAGTTACACAAATTTCCAAAGTGAGTAGTTTTTCATGTGTTTCTATTTAATTTCATTCTTCTCTCCCCTTTTTTTAATACAGCTGGAAATTGGATAATCCCTCCAACTCTTCATGCAGAACATTATGTAAAAATGGTAAATAGTGTTGCATCCTAATCAACTCCTTCTCTGAATTGATCATGAACCACTAATTATTACTGTCAGTGATTTTTGAATAAGCTGCATATTCTTTGAACCACATATTTTCAATCTGTGTTTTCATTAACTAATACCCTGATTTCTTTTTTTTTTGTTGTTTTGAACATATTTGAAGAATCTTTTTGTCATTCTTGGTACAACGCAAACTCATTAGTGTTCGCCTTTCTTATACATCTGTACAGTTAGAAATAACGTCTCTTATTTTGTATTATTTTCCGATTTTCTTCCCATTGTCTAATGTTTTCAGATCTTCATAAACCTTTTTGTTAACCTAGTTTGACCTCCATTTTTTCTTCACTGAATTAACTTGCAGTTGGGTTTTAAGATTTTTTTTTTAAGAACTCAGACCAGTTTATAACAGATGCAAAACTGGGAGAGCTAAAGGTGGAGAATATATCTATAGTTTCTTTTTTTATTCAAGATCAATTCTTAACGAGATGGAAAGAAAAATTATGAAAACAATCCCCTATCTGCCACTTGAGATGATCATTTCATTTTGCCTAACCATTCTTTATTATTAAATTAATGTCATCTTTCTTACTTCTTTGGAAATGTCTAGTTGATGTGTTTTAAAGCTTAGCAATAGTCTAACTTTGAAATATCTACATTTGTAACAGCTGCATTCACATAACACGTCAAGCCATGGTCCCATCCTAATCTGTAATTGAACTCTTAATTGTTGAATATCCATATCATATCCATGGCAAAAAGTGTATCAGGAAAAGATGGAAAAATGCAATTAGTCTTACAGAAGAAAGGATTCACGACCAACTTCTAGACCTATATTTGTGTATCATCTTATTGGAAGATATTACCAATCGGGGGATCAAGTTGTAGGTAGTCTACATAAGTCATCTGCTTAAAGGCCTCCCAGATAACCTTGCAAGATATGTTCGTCACCTCTCTATGGGACCTGTCCAGCTGGGATCAAATTCTGAGTAGATTTAAATGATTTTATCTTCCAGATGTCTAGAAAATTCCTCATAGCCTCCCAGTTCTTCCTAGTTATGTTCACTCAATGGGATCTTTAAAAGGGCTGCTGGGTTCAATTTTGCAGATGTAGTAACAAGTTTTTCACTGTGCTCATCAATATTTGGGCTGAAACTCGAGCTCTTCCTGATAGGTGTGATTAATTTTCCGCCACCATCTTTCTGGGTGTTTCCTCAGCTACTTCATCACCCAGAGCTCTCTGTTCACCAAGGAGTTTCTTTGGAGAGCTGGGAGAAGCCACTTAGCACAATCTTGTCCAAGACCACTAATGCCCTTTTTTCCCAATGGGCAACAGAAATCTTAGCTGGACTACCCATTAGAGCTTTGGGAAGATCCTCAATCACTCTTTGAAAAATCAAGTAATTCTCAGATGCATAGAGAAAACTGATCAAATGGGATCTCCTTGTGGAAGTTGGTAGCACCAGTTAGTTCCAAAGCAATCAGAGCATGATCCAACTATGACAAGGACAGGTGTTAAAACCCTTAATCTTGGATCATCCACTGAGGAAATCAGTAGGTTTCAACAATCCAGGTAGGGATGCTTTTATAGTAGAGTAGTCCCAACCTGTCTCTAGAGCTCAACTTAATATTAACAAGTTATCTGCAAGACAGTGCTCCTAAATGCTGTATCCTGAATGACAATAGCTATTCCACCTGAAATTCAGATGTTCATTATCTCAGAGAGATAAATTATCTGCCTTTCAGTTAGGCCAGGCATGTCAAACTGCCGGCCCACAGGCCAGATACATCACGCCGAAACCGCGCCCGCCCCATTGCTGGCAATAAGGAAAAAGTCCCGATACGTTGCGCGATGTCACGTGATGTCGTGAGTTTGACATGCCTGATTTAGGCTCTGTAATTCAACGTGCAGTGAGAAGGGATCTTGATCAAGTTGTTTTGTTATATTAAATATTTGTACAGAAATATGCAACCTACTTTGTTAGGGATATCAAGAGATAATTAGACCTAGGTGTAATTTTATCTTCCAGGAAAAGCACCTGATCTTTAAATTTCATTGCCATCATTTTCTACATGACTGAAGAATTTACTTCCTAACAAAGCAAATATTTTAAAATTGTTTAGCATAAACAGAATATAATTGATAACTCTTTTCTAGGGTAACTTTATTATTACAGGTATCTACTGTAGGTCGGGTATAGATTTATCATTATTGTTTAAAATTGTTCAGTGTTTTGTAAAAGCATATTCATTTATCTTTCCAGGGGCTCCTTCAGAAGCAGAAAGAACTGGAGACATGCTTTATTCCAAGTCTTATGACTCAAGAAGAAAACTTTATTTTACCGCTTTAAGAATTTCAGCTATGATGATTTTGCTGTGTTGGCACTTTATACTATAATTATGAACCAAGTTGTAGAATATGGACTTTTGTATATTTAAGATAAACTTTCAGTAATGAATTTTATTTCACATGAAACTGTATGATAATGTGATCTGTTTACACAGTATTTGTATCACTAATTTAAATTTTATGTGAGTATTTAGCATGAGAAATAAAATACTTGAATTTTCAATACCCATGGCTACTGTGTTGCATTTTAATTGACAATGTAAGCAGCAATTCAGATACATCAACCCATATTTAAAAGCTGTTCCTATAAAGAAATTACTTAAATAATTTTAAACATAGTTTTGCATTTATAGGGAATTAATAAGCAAGAGCATAAAGAACTCATAGAGTGTGACCTATATGCACAGAACTATAATGAATGCCAAGTAATTATTTTACATTAAAATGTTAAGACCACTTTATAAACATTTTACATGTGCCATGCTTTACATTTTTAAAATGAGTTGTCAAACACATGATTCTACAAACAGAAATCACAACTCAATTTTAATTAAAATGGGTTCTACTAAAAGTAATATCAGAATTTAGAAAACATGCCCAATAATGCCAGTAATTAGAACATGCTGTTGAGTATTTGAAAAGTTTAGCAGATAATCCTGTCTTCCACTGTAATACTAGGTTTTTGGTTTTTGTTTTAGTCAGTAAAAAGATTAGATTTTCTAATTTGATTATTTCAGCTGTTTGCCAAACTATTCATTTTGACTGTGATGATATAAATATCAAAGCTGCCTCGTAGTATTTCGTCTGAATGAGACAAACTACCTCTCCTGGTGTCTGAAAATGGAGATGTACTTGTGAAGGGAGTAGTTGTGGATGGTAGTTACTGATTCACCTGCAGTCCTGGATAATGGGGACCGGAGAAAGAATGAGAAAGCATTGGCCAGCATAATCCTGAGTTTGGAAGATAGCCAGCTGATACACGTGAGGGGTCTCCAGTCTGCTAAAGAGTGCTGGGAAGCTTTGCACAGTGTGTACATGAGTGAGACTGCGAGCAGCAAAGTAATGCTGACAAGAAAGCTATGTAAGGCCCAACTGAAACCGGGAAAGAGCATGTCTATGCATTTGCAGTCCATGAGAAAGACATTCCTAGAGTTAGAAGAGGAATGACTTTTATTGAGGTACACAAGGTGTATGTGATGCTCAGTTCATTGGACAATTCACGGGACATCCTAATGTTCAGTTTGTCGTCCATGCAAGAGAGGGACTTAACCACGAGTTATTTGACTGGCCGGTTGCTGGAGGAGGAAAAGAAAAGGCTGGAAAGGCAGCAGAGAGGAAGTGGTGACAACTCAGACCAGGCCTAGAATTACAACGTCCAAAGATGCCAGCAGGGCAGCTGAAAACACTTGCATGGTGAAATGCTGCTTCAAGTGTGGTTCTACAGAGCATCTCCAGAGACGCTGCCCTGAGAGGAGAAACAGAGGAGCAGCGAAACAAGATCATAGAGCTACACAACCAACATTTTTCCTGGCAGCAACTTTCACTGAAGAAAACACTTGGTTGTTGGACAGTGGGGCAAGTCAGCATATTGCAAATGACCCACAAATGTTTTCAAACCTAAGACCAGCTAAACAAACATTTCTTAGCTTGGCAAATGGACAACAGTCCGCTGTTAAAGGGGAAGATAAACTTTATGTACCTGCTATTTGAGAAACATTAGGTAATGTATTATATGTAGGCCATAATTTACTCAGTATTTTGAGCTTGGATAATATGGGGTATGAAGTACTGTTTGCAAAGGGTCAATATACCATCAGGAAAGGGGGGAGGATTTGTGCACAAGGTATTAAGCTGGATAATTTATACGTGTTAAGGAAGCAGCAGGATGGTTGTGCACGAACATTCACGAACACTCCCATGCATGATAATTACGTACATTTATTACATAGGCTAGGTCAGTGGTGGTGAACCTATGGCACGGGTGCCAGAGGCGGCACTCAGAGCCCTCTCTGTGGGCACGCGCGCCGTCGCCCCAATCCTAGGCCTTCAGCTGGGTTTTATAAAACCTGTTCGCTTTAGGCCTCCACCACCGTGTGCAAAAAAAAAAAAAGATTCAATCAATCAATTTCAACTTTTCGCGGGGGAAAAAAAGATCTTGCAAAGTTGGAATTGATTGATTGAACTTTTTAGTGCCACCCAGTCTGCCGTTACCACCGCAGCCATGCCCACCCAATGGGCCATGCCCATCCAATGGGCCACATCCAGCCAATGGGCCACACCCACCCGGCACCCGACAATGTATAAGTGGGTTTTGGTTGCAGTTTGGGCACTCAGTCTCTAAAAGGTTCACCATCACTGGGTTAGGTCATGCAAGTTATAGAGTGCTGCAAAGGATGCCAGACCTAGCTGAAGGACTACACATTAAGCAATGCAACACATATTTAGATTGCGCAATTTGTAAGGAGTCTAAGTCCAGAATGTATCCTGTAAGTAAGAAAAGCTCAAGGCAAAGAGTTTTGCAGTTAGTGCATGCTGATTTAATTGGTCCTATGGCGCCCTCTCTAGGAGGAGTTAGGTATGTACTAGTCTTAGTAGATGACTACGCCAGATATGGGTTTTGCTATTTATTAAAGAGCAAAATGGAAGTTCAACAGTTAGGCAATGGGTGAACTTTGTAGAGCGATGATATGGCCATAAGGTATGCCAGCTGCAACAGACAAGGGAACAGAGTTCATGTCTGACAACTTCCAAACTGGCTGAGGAACTTAGGCATAAGGGATAGACGTACGAATCCATACTCGCCAGCAGAAAATGGGGTGGCTGAACGGAGAAATGGAGTACTGCAAACTATGAAAGATTCACAGTTGGCAGATGCAGGAATGAGTAAAACGTACTAGGGGAAGCCATGAAAACAGTCAACTATCTAGTCAACGGTATGGAGTGTTGCTATAAATGAAACTCCATATTACCTATTATATGGAAGGAAATCTTCACTGGTTCACCTAAGAACATTTGACAGTTATGCCTGGGTGCATATTCCCAAAAGAACCAGCAGGAAAGGACAGAAAAAGGCCAGGAAAATTAGGTTTGTTGGATACGAGTCAGATTCCAAAGAATATAGATTTACAGATGGAACAAAGAAGGTTGTGATCTCAAGGCCTACTAGTTTTGCAGAACAAAACAATTGGGACAGGGTGCATGCTGACACCGAGGTGTTCATGCCAGCACATAGCACTAGTTCTCAAGAAGGAGAGGCTACACATAGCCCAATGAAGGGAGGCCAAGATAGCAGGTCAGAAATAGTAGGAATAGGATAAACCTGAAGTAAAGAGAGAAGTAACAGAAACACAGGAACAGATGCCAAGGAGGTCTGAACGTAGCAATAAGGGCGTACCTCCTGATCGATTCTCAGCAAGTGGGGTTAGAGCGTATAGTATAAGATATGAACCCCGTAATTACCAAGAGATGTTATCATTTCCTACAGTAGAAAAGGATAAATGGAAGGAGGCTATGGAAAAAGAAATGGAGTCTATGAATGTGCATCAGGTGTTTACCCTTATGAGGTTACCAAAGCGATAAAAAGAATATTCAGATATTTGAAAGACAATGGACCTAGGATTAAGGATAAGGCCATCTGATACCCTATCATTACAGTGCTATGTAGACAGTGAATGGGCAAATGATATGCATGACAGAAAGTCAAACACAGAGTTTGTGATATTGTTTGCTGGCACCATAATTGGATGGAAATCCAGAAAACAACCTTCAGTAGCATTGTCAACTGCTGAAGCTGAATTTATAGCATTGTCTGAAAAGTGTTCCGAATTAACCTGGTATGTCCAATTACTAAGAGATGTACGTATTGATGTAAAAAGAAGCTGTGCCGATATTTGAGGACAATGTTGCATGTACAATATAAAGATGGCAACGGGAGAACGTATTGGAAGCAGAAGCAAACATGTAGACATAAAATATTGTAAGATCAGGGAGGCTGCAAAGGATAAATTGATAAAGTTACAGCATTGTTCCACTGACAACAATATAGCTGATATATTGACTAAGCCTTTAAATAATAATAATAAAGTTGGAAGGGACCTTGTAGGTCATCTAGTCCAGTGGTGGCGAACCTTTTAGAGACCGAGTGCCCAAACTGCAACCTGAAACCCACTTATACATCGCCGGGTGCCGGGGGCGTGGCCAGGTGGGCGTGGCCACAAAAATGGGTGTGGTCAAGTGGGCATGGTCACCAAATGGGCGTGGCTACCTCGATGTTGCTCCTGGGGCAAGGCAAGGTGAGGCAGGGGCTAGGGCAGGTTGCAGACAAAGGGGTGCTCCGGTGAGGAGGAGGTGGAAGATTTAAGCAAGCTTGGCACCGGAGCCTTGGCTAAGCTGATGGCTCTACTTCGCTAGAAGCAAAAGCACGGTAAAATAAGTGGGCTCGACCTCTCTAGGCACCAGGCTCCATGGCAGCGTAGCTCCGCCCCCTTCTCTGGCTTCGGGGGTCTCTTGCTGAAGAAAGAGAGAGAGAGAAGCGAGGGAGAGGACGGACGGACGGCAGGCAGCCAGCCCGGCTCGCCTGGGCTGTCGCGTGTTGCCTGCAACATTCGGAAACCTCTTCTTCCCCCGCATGTGCCGCTTCTCCTTACTCCCTGCGCAGCTGAAAATGCGAGACTCCGGCCTGGTCGGCTGCCTGGCTCCGGTTTCCTTGTTCACCGCGACCCCTCGCCCCAGCCCACCGTGCCAGCTGCTGGGCTGGGCGGGGGGTTGCTGAACCCTTTGCATGGGGTGGCCGCCACCGCCTCTGGCCTCGGTCCGTCTCTCCACTGCTGCGCCTGCTGCCGGGAAAAATGCCCCGGCAGAAGCTGCCTTTGCCCGAAGGCTGGGAGGAAGCTCGCGACTACGACATCGACCACACCACCAAAACCACCAGCTGGGTCAACCCGCGGGACAGGTGAGGAAGGATGGACTGGAGGAGGCCAAGCCAGTCAGCTGGGGAGGAGCCTGCGCTCTAAGGGCGACAGGTGCCTGGAGCAGGCTGTGCCTTGGTAGGGATAGGAAGGGAAGAACTTGGCCGCGGAAAGTACGTGGGCCCGGGAACGCGTGTGCGTGTTTGTCCGCTCGTCAGGTCGCTCTCTCCCTCCCCCTAGTATTGTTCCTTGCAGGTCAGGATGGTTTGAGAGCGATCTCTGAAGATTTGGGCCAGTATTAGGCAGGCGGAGAGGGCGCGGGGCGGGCTG